ATTGTTATATCATTATGATTATTTTATTATTATATTATATTACTATTATCATTATTGTTGTTTAGTGTAAAATGATTACATGTTTTTTTTGTATTTTTCTTTCCCCGCTATTTTACCTTATGTCTTCTAAGAGATGCTACTAGCTGTTGTTGCTTTAGAAATTGCCCCTTGCTTTGTCTGTTATCTGTAAAAATTAAGAAGAAGAAACGAAAATGGGTGTATTTTATATATGCAAACCCAAGAAACMCAAAATACATTAATAAATGATTGCTATGTATTCCCTGTACTCATCCATGGTAATGCTTCCTCACGTTTTTTCAAGGATGTCCTCAGGAGTACCAGTAGAAACTAAACCTTGCTTCCCATAAAAGCTTTTACAGTTGCACGCTTTCTGTTATTTACCGTGCTATTCAAATTTGTTTTTCTTGCTTTTTTTGGTTGGTGTTTTTGATTAGATTTTTTTCGTTTCGTTTTGTTTTGTTTTGTCYTTTTTTGTTTTACTGTCGGCTTTGTTATTTTTTGGTTTCTACACGTTTCCAATTGTTTATTCTGCATTCGCAGTCTTTTCTTCGTGACATTTTGTCATTTGTTAGCCGTGACAAGCCAGGAAATGGCTGCTTTCCAACACCCCTGGAGCTATCGTCTGCCGTAGTCTGAATATAAAACATAAATGTCCCGATTGATAAATTCAAGCACTTGATAAAAGCTTCCTGCCGATTTCAAACTCATGAAAGTCAGACTAGAAGTTTCTCGATCACACGTGATCATAGTTCCGTCTATATTAAGCAACTGAGAATCTATTTTTAGCTTTACTTATCATGTCTCTTCTTCATATTTTGTTATTATCTGATGGGTTTTATCGGAAGTGCAGAAGACAGCAAAATGATGTAAGATCTTATCACGTTTACAAGGCATTAGAGCTCCTTATGGTTACTCTGTCTCCTGATTTGTTTGGCTTATTTTAGTTATAAGACCGGTGTGGTGCGTGCAAAAGGTGTTGCATTTGTTGGTGTGCGTGATAGTGCTTTAGGTGTTGTTGGCACTGCGAGTCCCATACTTGATTTTTATTCCATACACATACGCAAAGCGTACGGTAAAGACTAGACAAATATATTAAATATATAAATAACTTAGTAAGTATGACAAATAGGAAAAACTACGAAACATTAAACTGCAAAACGATAAGAAATATATGGAAACGAATAACTTACATTTGTGTATGAAGGGACGAAACTGCGAGCACCAACTAACTAAGTATTTACATAGAGGGCGTATATAAGGCGTACAAAAGCTCCTAAGAGACAAGACTAACAATGACGAAAATACTTAGACTAAAACGAGTGAAACAAAAGCTATAGAACACATATAAACAAACCTAAGACAAAGAGAACTACACTAAAAACTCATTATAGGCTTTTCAGATCTAACAGGTGTTGTGTATTTAGTGCGATCGATGTCGTAGGTGTGGCGTGAATGATGGCTAGTTCAAGCGTGGTGTGCTTCTTTAAGTGAGGTGTCGTATGAATGTGGATGTTGCATATTTAATAGGTGTTATAGCTCAAGTGCGTACGATTGGTGGTGCGTGTTTGGTATAGGTGTTCTATGTGAGATGCGTATGACAGTTGTTSTAGGTGTGGCGTGTGTCTTTAGGTRAGGTCGTGTTTGGTATAGGTGTTCTATGTGAGATGCGCATGATAGTTGTTGTAGGTGTGGCGTGTGTCTTTAGGTGAGGTCGTGTTTGGGGTAGGTGTTCTATGTGAGATGCGCATGATAGTTGTTGTGGGTGTGATGTGTGTCTTTAGGTGAGGTCGTGTTTGGTATAGGTGTTCTATGTGAGATGCGCATGATAGTTGTTGT